GGCGTGACGCGCCAGTACCAACGTAACTCTCTACGTCCGTTTGAATTATTGCACGCCTGCACAATACGCCTCGATCCGCCGGCGTGCGCATTCCGTAAAGGCAACCGGCGAACATGCAGATCACGCTCGTGTAGAAATCCACGTGGAAACGTCCCCGGCGTCTCGGAAAAGCGACGAAGAACGCGAAGCCCGATGCGACTCGGATCGCGCCGAATTACTCGATCCCCCCGCGTTGCGTCCTGATTAACGATAATGCGGCGATTCCTGGGCCAACTTAGGGTGTCGCGCGATTTCACCTCCGTGTTTACCGATTATTCTCCTTCTCAAGTTCGTTCAGAACGTCATCCTGCGCTAAGGGGAAATAAATGATACTTGCAACTATGCTCACGCGTTGGAATAAAACAGTTATAGCCAGGAGAATTATTTTTTTAGTGAATGGTATTATACAGTCAGTGGTACTATATAGTCAGGTTCCATGTAGGAAGCGTATATATCAGTCATGTTTCGATGTCTCAGGGGGATGCCAAAGTCGACGACGAGCTTGATAAGCGTCGATAACCTGAAAACGATCTTCTTAAATATCAATGCTTTAAGCAGAAATGCGGGAGATATCAGCAATGTGAGGCTTAAATAGTTCAGTGATAAGAGGTTACCTGGCAAATGGAAAACCCGGGTTCGATCGAGTGTGCCTCCGATGTTTTTCACTTCGTATATTAAAAGTGGACATCTGCAGGCACAAGCAACCATTCCGGCCATATTCTTTCGTTTCGCAGTATGGTCGTGGTATTGTAAATTATAAATAGTTATCGTTATTGGGAATCGGTATTGTTTCAGTATTGGGAATCGATAATTTCTGGTACTTTTGCAGTACTGGGAATCAGTACAGTCACACCCAATCAACACCGAGTATCAGTTAAACTACATCCATATTGTAAATTCTAACTGAACGATGTAAATGCGATATAACACTGATGCAACGCGGACAACCACTCTTACCACTGAGCTATCTAGGCTTCACGTTAGTGATATCTCTCGCATTCCTATTTGAAGCGTTGGTATTTAAGAGAATGTTAAAGTCGATGTTGAACTTGACAAGCAATACTCAACAACACAAATTCAATATGACATCAGTGTAATATTGCATATATAACATTGACATAACATTATAACATTACATTTATGTAACAGTAATATAATATTATCGTTCGAAATTATAACATAGATATAATGCAACTGATGCTCAGTGTTATTTGGGACGGTATTTCGACTCCACTGCTATCATCCCAATATTCATCCTCATTTTACTTCTAATATCAAATCGGTATTTGCTATTGTCCATTAAAAATCGGTACTGAACTGGTTAAGTGAAATAAATGAATAATTATAACTTCCTTCAATGTATGGATTCGCCTTTTGACATATCTCGAATGTTTCCCTGGCAGTTGATTTTTACAATCGCGCGGATTCTCCGGCCGCTGGTAGTTTCAGATATATTACCATATCAAAGCGACATTTTCTTTTACATCTCGACTCTAATGAGCGAAATTCAAGCTAATCGTCTTGTCGCGCTCGAGAGATCATCCGTATCTTCCGTCTGCAACGAGTTCAGCATAATGCCGAGGGATCGCTTCTCACAAGCCTGCTTCTTTTCAAATCACTACGCTTTCTCCCGAGGTCTTCACACGGACGAGTCACAGGTTGGCGACCGATCCGAATTCAAATCGCACGCAGCGCCGGGCTTGTGCTCGCGACGTGACGACTTTGTTAAATCGACGCGATCGCAAGTGTGATCCCGCGTTCTCAGATACGGCGTGACGAGTAAGATGGATGAAGACGAGAAGAAGACTGCGGCAAGATATCATGAGTTGATACCTTGACGTTATTTGAACGCTTTTAAGGATAGTTTGCTACTTAGATGACCTATAGACTAAGAAAAATCTACTTCGACGATACTGACACTCGTTAACTTCTCTCTTGAACCTTTAATTCTTCGCCGAAAGAAAAAAATAAGAAACATTTATCCGTGAGTACTATAACAACGTATTTATTTAAATCTCTAAATTAATTTATTTAAATAGAATAAACAGTTGTCTTCATGCAAAGCTACAGATTTAAAAAAAATGTATATCTCCCCCTTCGAAAAAAATTATTTTTCGGTATAGAAATATGTAAAACGGCGAAAACGGAAATTTAAGACGATATGCGGTGAGAATAGGAGTAAATTATACTATTGGAATTAAAAGTGGGCTTGTTTTGATATCTCGGGTCTTACTGTGTTGCAGAATTAAATGTTTAACACAGGGCGAACATTTTGACACGGGATCACCGCACGATATTGCATCTCCATCGCGCGGAATTTTCAGCGTACGATGGGAGGGCCCGTGCATAAATCTCTTCATTTATTGTTCGCCTTTAACGCGCGAATATGTCCGCGCTCGATCGCCAGGATGCGCCGAGAAGAGGGAAGAGCTCGGTCTCGCGCGCGCGCGTGCGCTCGATTGGGATCCGTGACATATCACGACCGGCGGCATGCGCACCTTCGCGTAACAGCCGAGCGGCTTCCTCGGCGATTTATGCACGCCGCGCGAGACGGCTATTAAGCGGCGGAACAAGTTTCGTATTTTATACATGTGTCTCCGTCCTTAATTTACAGTTACACACCGGACGCTCGGGATCGAGCCGACTTGGCCGCGCGCGTTTCGGCACTGAACCGATGTCGTTTATCAGAACGCGCGTACTGAAAAGGAAATATCAGTCCTGCGAACGAATAGGGAGCAGATGAAAATTCGGTGGCGAGAAGCGGTAATCTCTGTTATCGCTGTTATCACTGAGAACATTCGTGACATTTGGCTGCATTCAAACTCGGTCGAGATAATTGAGAGCAATTGACTGATAAGGAACTTTCGGCAACGTGTGAATTAAAAAAGAATCTAAAATTTTGCAGAATTATAGAACCTGATAACGAAACAATTTCTCATTGATGCCCAAAAGCAGTTGTAAGGGTGACAATAATAAGATGATCCATTGAAAAAGGTCGGTTCATATATTTCTAAACGAATATCATCTAAATCATTAGAGATATGAAAAAAATCATTATAAACAAAAGTTTCACTGTTTCAAAAGTACTTTATAATGGCGTATTTAGATTTTTAAGATATGTTATGTTTTTTGAAATACTCCCACCGCCCACATTTTTCCCCTAATATCTGAGATTTATTTTTCAACGAAATTGAAGTTTATTTTAAACAAAATTCAACCATTATAAAATGAAGTTGTATTTCAGAAATGCGTATTTGAGGAATAAATTGAAAACCCTGTAACACATTCCAGTCGTATCAGTCTTACGCTCTCACTACTTAACGACAGCCTTTCTCTCTTTTCTCCTTCTCCGTTCTTCATAATTTCTTTTAATAGGTAAGGATGTAGACGGATATTCATAAGCGCGATCGCATAAATCACTTTCATATTTTACGTATTTTACGCATCTGGTTCCTAGATAACGAAAAATTCAGTCGCACTGACGGAGCTGTTTTCTCCGTACAATTCCACCGGTTGATCCGTCTCTCACGAGATTTTGTTCTTTTCGGCTTTCTTTCTAACAGCCTCAGCGTCTCATAGGAGCCGACAGTCTCTAAGATGTACCGGTTACGTAAAAAAAAAAAAAAAAGTTACGTCGTATTGAGAGTTAACGGTAGTTTCTTCGGTCGTTGTCGGCGGACGTTTGCGCGCGCGCGCGCATGAAAGAACTTTATTTTCCGGGCTGCTTCCGAATAGCTCGACGAGAACACGCCCGAGATACTCGCTTTGTGCGACGTAATGTTTCGCGTAATTTCGCAGCGGCGTACAAGTCAGATGTTTGCACAAAGAGATCCCGTCTGCTGCCGTCTGTTGAAAGAGCGAGCGAGAGAAAAAGCGTTGCGCGGCGTTCTTGCGCCCGCTCTCTTCCGTCGGACATAAACATCAGACGTAAACGGCGGGCGAAATTATGGTCGATTACGCGAGTGCCTTCAGCATGAATGAGACGTACGCCGGGTTCTCGCCGTTCTGAAATCTCTCGATCATCGGCCGCGACATGTAGCACGTGTTGTAATCTATAATCTGACATTTCTGTGCGGCGAACGAACCGGCGCGCGCGTCTGGAATCTCCGACACGTGTAGAGAAAGCGTGTAGATTGAGACACGTACACTTTTTCTTTCGACGTATCGAGCGCGTGTCCACGCGAGAGTCCACTGAGATGACGACCAGGTCGTCGTCGAAAGTCAAAAACCCGATGGACCGCGTCGACTTATCGCGCGTCGTGCGATTTGTCAAATTGTGCGCTAAAGGCAGCGAGTGAGAGTTACTCTTTTCGCGGGGGAGACGCGCGAACTTTCGAAACGACAAGACTAATCGGCAATTGAGATTTATTCAACGGCGTCGAAGAAACCGATCACGATGATCACGCTCGGCCTCGATACGGCGTATTCGCCTCGACATCGCCGATTTTATCTCAAATATACCGCGTTTCGCGATCACAGGTGCACTGAGCAATTTTTGATGTCCGTAACCGTAATTACGCGAGTGAAAGAATTATAGTTGGAAGAACCTTTTTTTTTTCTATGTAAAAAATGTGCTAGGTTCAAGTAAATAATTGCTCCAAACTCAGCACATTTTTACTGGAATTAAGTAAATTTTACTTGGATCAAGGAAATGTTTTATTTGAATGTAAAAAAGGCGTTACATACAAGTAATATTTACCTTAATTCAAGTAAAATTTCTTGACGTTGAAGTGATATATCATAAGTTTTTCAGGTCTCGAAAAAAAATATATCTCAAAACAAGAAAGGGTAAAAATCGTGGAATTTTTACGAGTTATTTACGCATTTATTAAATTTATTATTGATTTTTACTTATTGTCTTTATGGACTGATTGCCAACGGGAAACCGGTCTACTAATCTTATTTTATTGGATCAGGCTGATAATAACGGTATTCACATGGACCCGACCTTTCTTTTCTAGGTAATAGAGGAACGGGAGTGGGGCATATCGTCTTGCGTAAAACGTGAAAGAAGGGGTAAGTGAAAACGTGTGTGGGCCTCGTAGGTCTGTCATATTACTGTCAGGATTAATGCAGTTCAATGTTCTCAGTCGCGATAGATCGATAACAAAATATTTGATATATTTAACTATAACACCATCTATACCAGCTATAATAAAAGAATTATAGTCAGGTGTACCATTTTTCTAAAATAAATTTTACTACAATGTCAGTGATAATAATAATCTTACGAACGAATGTTTCTCAGTTTTGCTTTACTTTACGATATTGACGCTTTCAGTAACTTGCCTCTACCATTTATTCTTGGATTTAGCGAAGTAACATCAATAACACTCGAGAATCTCAGCTATGAACAACTATCGTTTTATTCCTCAAAAATTCACGCGCCCATTCCCGGGTTAATGTTTAACTAAAGTTTGAATTATCAAAAATACGATACATAATTGTATGATTCATGTATTTATAAGCTCTGTTCATTGACTCCCTGTTGGCTACATATTTGATCTTGCATGCATCCGATTACGTTTTGTACGTAAATTAATGAGACGCGGCAATATTATAGCTCTAATCACCAGTGACACCACGTCAAAGAGTTAATGAAGCATTAATCGCATGCGTTGAATTACGCAATACGACTATATAGTATAGCGACTGAGGGCAGCTTTATTACGTGGACGCCCGCATAGAAAATTTCTTAGACTCTAATTAGAATTTAGTGATTTCCCAAAATAATGATGGATTCTGGTTGGGCAATTTATGTAGTGATTAGAAATATAATGTTTCGAAAATGCGATTCTAAGTGAGAAACATAAACAGATCCTATTTGGTTACCTCCAACGTTTTCCTAAAGAATATTTTGGTTTCCACTCTGCATTACGATTGAACAAAATATATGAAACACTATAAGCATTTATATTCGATAAGTACACTCGTGCTACGCACGCTCATTCAATTAAACGTTAGTAATATTAGAAATATAACTCAATTTACTAACCTCCTAATTTGATATTCGATTAAATTATCGCTCGATTCTTGCGACGATAATCGCACGCGGCACGAAGCAAGCCGTAGCGTATAGCCAATTAGCGTCGCTTCATGCCACGCTTGTAATAAGAATAGAATTCTCAATTGGTATCGTAATGAGATAAGTAGAATAACATTTAGTTATGAATAGAATCCATTTATTGGATAATCCTCCGTTCCGTTATGTTTTATTAAATAAGGAGCTAGAACCGGTCAGTAAAAAGTCGGAAACAGCCGAGATCTTACTTGAGGCACTTGAGAGTATTCATAGTCAGGTCGTATTTAAGATCGTCTTAAGTTCATCTTCAGATGTTTCCTAGCCAATGAAACGAGCCGTACAGCATCTGAAGGTGAACTCAAGACGATCTTAAACATATGATTTTATTATGAATACTGGCCTAGGACAATCCATTCCGGGAAACTTGGAGTATTTTTATCAAAACCCATATCTGGGAAAACCTGGGAAAAGTTCTATGCGGGCGGTGTTCGCGATCCTACGGGAGATTCCACGGGAACCCACTGATATCGTTCGCCGGGCAGCGAGAGAAAAATGACCCCTGTCTATCGACCTCATTATCGGACCTCGAGACCGGATCGTTCTCTGTAACGATTCAGCCGAAGCGGCTAAATTGGACCTCCGCAGACAAGTAGCGGCCATTGTCTGTCGTGGCGGGAGGCAAATGCATTTCCCTTCGCCATTCATTCGGACAGCTAAGTCGTAGAGGCTGCGGCGATGTCGCCGAACCTGTCTGTCCGCAGGATCGCGTGCGGATGGCAGAATGGGAGCGCAACGACGTCGGCAACGGGCACGCTAATCTGCCGGCGGGATCGTTGATTTTTCTTCCCACGCGCGTCTCGAAGAAAGCGACTTCGCGTTACTCTCGATTTCTCCCCGGCCTGACGATACCGTCGTATTCCGTCCCGTCGTCCTCGTCGCGTTTCAGTCGCGCATATCCGCTCGCCTCGGGAAGTTGTCGAAGGACTTCGAGGTGCAACCGGCGATAATCCACGTCCGGGGGATGCTGGCGCCTCAGAGACGCGGGCTTTTATCCGCGGGATTGCATGCAGCGTGCTCGCGTGCGTCGACGCTGCATCGTGCAGGACTTGAACGCCGCTCGTTTTATTTGAGCGCGAACGAGTGGCCGCGAGTGCAAAAGTGTTGCCCGGGGTTTATCGATACGCTCGACTATTTGCGAGAGGCGGGTGAGCGCGTCGAACGAGCGTCGGCGGCTGTTTACCGATGCCAGCGAATTGATGCGGGAAGGAGTCCTGAATGGGTAATAATCGACGAGGAAAATTTGCATAGTCCGCGTACGCCTACAGTCGGTGTCATGTTCGCTGTATCATTCCCTGGAAGAAGAGACATGATTTTCAACCTTACATATAATGTATAAGATTGAAAATTCTAGAAGTAATTCCAATTATAATAGTAGGATTATAATGGCTCTAATTATATTGGATTTCAATCTTTAGTCTTTCACGTATACACATAAAATTATGCGATTTAATTATGCTGTACGCGTGTGACAAGATGTTATCGAAATTATTCTTACGTGCTCTCCTATTGAAACAAACCAGGGAATCCATACACTGAAAAAAGGATTTGGTAATAAGGACTAGAATTTTTGGTGAATGTTTGCCGACCAAACATCTGATTATTGCAGCATTTAATTCTGTATATTAAATATACAATATATGGAACTACAGTATTTTATATACAGTACGGAACTAAATTATTTGGTTGCAATAATCCAATATTTGATCGGCGAATATTCACCAAATTTCATTACTTATTGCCAAATCCTTCTTTCAGTGAATCCAGGCAATATAATCGAGACATCAGACGTCTAAAAGAGTATAGATCAAGTATTATAACTAGCGTTTGGCTTCAATAGACCTTTTCAATTTAAATTCCATTTGACAATCTAAAAGCCTATACTTAATCTTGTAATTTTTGTGAAAATTCGGTAATAGTAACAAATTTCAATCTAGGGAATGGTAGAGAAAAAACGTCAGAACTGACATAAGTATGATAAACCGACACACCCGAGTTTCTCGGCTGTAAAGTACTGAACTCTGTCGGACAGAACACGAATTTCGTCTAATATGTACAGTAGTTAGAGCTGAAGTGGCAGTATGTCTTTGTAAGCGGTTGTGTTATTAGTGTCGTTCGATTTTTCGCTGAAGTTTTTGTTCAGCTATCTTCTTGTGAAAATTATAGTAACAAATCATCAGCAAGTAATTTATTTGATATTACTATTTTATAATGTAAGTTTTGAAGTTTATAAATTACTTTAGACCTTGTGTAAATCTCTATCCTCTGTCGCTGTACAAGAAAAGTCAAGGCTAAGTGGTTTTGTGAACCGACATACCTGAGTTTACTGGTCTTTCAATCGGCATACCTAAACTTTGCTTTGCGCAGAATATCATTTCACAGAATACAATTAAATCTACCGGTAACTGATTTTCCGTGTTTTTCTTATTTGTTTGTTTAATATGATCGGGAAAAAGGAGATAGGAGTCTTTTCACATAATAAAGGAGCAATGTGCATCGTAAAATTAAAAAAATATTTTAAAATATGTAAGGCTAAAGATAAAACGTTATATGTTAAATGTACAAGATAATATAATTTTAGTATTTTCATTTTATTTTTTTTTTCTATAAGTTTCTATAAGTATCGTGAGTATGTCGGTGTTGCGAACTAGTTTTAAAAGCATCCATGTCCGAACATCTTGAGAAATAGTTATTTGCAGGAAAATATGTAATAATTTTCGGACTGTTAAGATTCTCATATATTTTGGTAGGTGTTGCTGGCTTGCGTTGTTGCGCATAAATTTTCATTTTACACTTCCAACAGTGTTTCAGAGCCCAAAAACGAAATGGTACATCATAGTACTTTTTCTCTACGGCATACATGACACCGACTGTACTCGAACATCACGTTCCGGGATGATACGCGCGCGTCTGCATGCAAATCGAATTTCCGATATTGAATAGGGAATACCTCGTTATTCCGGAGATATATGTAAAAATTCCACTTTTTATACGCGCTTTTATTCATCACTCCCCCCGCGCCGCTACTGCGCGCGTTTACGTTTTTCGTCGCATCGTGCGATATGCGGTAAACGCGATAATGAAAAGCTGGAACACGGGTGGTTGCATTGTTTCGTTGGACGGCGTAATGTAGGAGGAGAATTACGCAGCCAAGAATATGCTTTTCATACGTCTGATATCCTCCGCGCCGCCTTTGTAACACGACGGTGGAATTTATTTCACTTAACCTCTCTGCGCACGCCATTATTTATTCCCCCCTCCCCCCCCTCCCCCCCGCGCTCTTTGCGTGTATCGAGCCGCGCTACGGCAAGTATGAGAGAAAGACTCGGAAGCCATCGTCTAGTATCATCATTTTTGTACACAAACGACTCAGTCGGGAGGAATTTCCGAGGAGAGTGGCCCGAATTCCCTCCGTTCACGTTTTACGGCTCGTTTGACATCGATATTTAACGGAACGAAACGAGTTTTTCATTGGACTGACGCGATATGCACTTATCGGAGTGAAACGTATTTCCGAAGGACAGCTCGATATCAGAACGGATAAGCGGGATACTTTTCAACGAGAAAGAAAGACGGAAAAAGAAAGAGATCCTCAGGATTTAGGTTGCGCGTGACTTCTCAACGACGCGATTTCATTTCGAAATGGAGGTCTACCCGGAGCGCTATATATGACGCACGTAATCACGATTATAGCAAGAGTATGTACCAGTTGGGAAATGTCCGACCGGTACCAAGTGATCCCGATGATCGCCGTGATAATCGGCGGAAACACGAAGCGGCATTGCTTGCTTTCTCGCTACGTGCTTATTTGACGGCTGTAAATAGTCTCCTTCGGCGCGATTATATCGCCGCGCGAACGCGCCGCTCGTTGATTACGTTCTCCCCTTTATTGTTGCATAATTTGAGAACAGAACGCAAATCCGCGGACGTCGTCGAT